AAAAAAAAAATCTTGAAATCTGAAGTGCTCCTGTTCCTGATCATTTTGGTCTCAACCTGAAGTACAAATAGTACAGATGCTGTTTTTCATTTTATTTTTTGGCTTGGGACAGGGTCTCTATGATACCAAGACTAGCTTCAAACTTTCAATGCTGTTCAGCTTCTTCAAGTGTTGGAGAAACCGGCATGCACCACCACACCTGGCTCTATCATCACTAAAAAGCTTTCGATTTTTTTGGTTCGTGGTGCCAGGGATTGAAACCAGGCCTGTGAATGCTAGGTGAGCACTCCACCATTGAGTTACACCCCCTAGCCCAGTGAATTTTTCAGTATTTCAAGGTTTTTTGTTTTTTCTTTTTTTCTGTCTTTTTGAGGCAGTGTCTCCCTGTAGCCCCAGCTGTCCTGGAATTCACTATGTAGACCAGGCTGGCCTTGAACTCACAGAGATCTATCTGCCTGCCTCTGCTGGGATTAAAGGCGTGCACCACCATGCCTGGCGAGTTCTATCTTTTTAAAATTTATTTTTCATGTATATGAGTGTTTTGCCTGCATATATGTAAGTGCGTCACATACATATAAATGCCTGAGGAGGTCAGAAGAGGGTGTCAGATCCCTTGAAACTAGGGTTATGGACAGTGTTAGCTACTATGTGCATGCTGGGAATTGAACCTAGTGCTCTTAACTACTGAGATACCCTTTCTAGCCCCACAAGGTTTATCTTGACATGACCTTATCAAAAGTAAAAGAGCAGCCAGGCGTGATGGCACATGCCTGTAGTCCTAGCACTTGGGAGGCAGAGACAGGCAGATCTCTGTGAGTTCAAGGCCAGCCTGGTCTACATAGAGAGGAGACCCTGTCTCAAAAAGACAAAAAAAAAAAAAAAGTGAAAGAACTGGGCTAGAGAGAAAGCTCAGTGGTTAAGAGCACTAGCTGCTCTTGCAGAGGACCCTGGTTTGGTTCCTAGCACCCACATGGCAGTTAACAACCATCTGTAACTCCAGTTCCAGGGGATCCAACATCCTTCTGACCTCCATGGACATTGTATTACAGGGGTGAACTTACATATATGACATGCAGGAAAAACACTCATACATATAAACAAAAAAGTGGAAGTGCATCTATACTTAAAAAAGTACACTGTCATGGGGTTGGAGAGATGGCTCAGCAGTTAAGAACACTTGCTGTTCTTCCGGGGGACCTGGATTCAATTCCCAGCACCCACATGACAGCTAACAACTATCCATAGCTCCAGTTCTAAGGGGATCAAACACCCTTTTCTGGCCTCTGCAGGGCACTGCATGCATGTAGTATACTTAACATACGTACATGTAGGCAAAACACTCATACACACAAAAAATGACTTTTTTTTTTTTTGGTCTTTTTGAGACAGGGTCTCCCTGTAGCCCCAGCTGTCCTGGAACTCACTACGTAGACCAGGCTGGCCTTGAACTCACAGAGATCCGCCTGCCTCTGCCTCCCAAGTGCTGGGACTAAAGGTATGTGCCATTAGTTCCCTCATAAAAATAATTTTTAAAAAAGTATACCACCATTTTTGAACATTTTCTCCATCAAACGTTTTCTTAAATTTCAGTCTCCTGACTGCCTTAGGCCTGCATTTTGGCTCAGAATGCAAGCAGGTAACAGTTCAATGATGGAGAGTTTGGAAGTCAGAGCCTTCATCTGCATGCAAGTTCTAAACATGTCATTGTCCTCGTGTGTCCCTTGTCAGATTATTTCAGGCCTTTTGTACCTGCTCCCCAATTCAACCTTTTTATTGCCTGTTTTGTTTTGTTTGGAGACAGGGTTTTGCAGTGTAGCCCAGGCTGGCTTCAAACCTTTGAATCTGCTGGGCATGGTAGCGCATGCCTTTAGCCTCAGCACTCGAGAGGCAGACACAAGCGGATCTCTGAGAGTTCGAGACCAGCCTGGTCTACATAGTGGTTTCCAGGACAGCTGGGGCTACACAGAGACCCTGTCTCAAAATTTGCTCAGCCTCCCAAGTGCTAGGTCACAGGCAAGGGCCAACACACCTGGCTTTGACTATACCTTTCAGACCTGCTCAGACCTCTGCAAGATCTGGTGTTTGGCTTGCCTAAAAGTTAGTTACTAATGAGGGGGCTGGAGAGATGGCTCAGCGGTTAAGAACACTGGTTGTTCTTGCAGAAGACCCTGGTTTGAATCCCAGCACCCACATGGCAGCTAACAACTGTCCGTAACTTCAGTTCCAGGGGATCTGACAGACTCTTCTGTCCTCCGCGGGCATTGCACGACATGGGTGTACTTACCTACATGCAGGTAATACACACATACACACAAAATAAAAAAAGTTACTAATGAGCCCGGTGTGGTGGCACATGCCTTTGGTCCCAGCACTCTGGAGGCAGAGGCAGGTGGATCTGTGAGTTCAAGGCCAGCCTGATGTAGTGAGTTCCAAGACAGCTGGGGCTACAGGGAGACCTTGTCTCAAAAAGCAGCCCCCCCCGACAAAAGTTACCCATGACCCTGTAAATCTACACTGTTGTATGCTTGTAATCATGTGTGATCCAAGCCCCAGAGGACTATATCTCGTTATGTTCCTTCCATACTCCAGCATGCAGTTCTCCATTATACATTTTGCTATTAGTGGTGTTTGAGACGGTGCCTCATTTTCAGCTCAGGCTGGCCTGAACTATGTAGCTCAGGCTGCTCTCAAATTCAAGGCAGTCCTCCTGCCTCAGCCTCCCAAGTGCTAGGGTTACAAGCACAAGCACCATGTCCACCCAGTCCCATTGTTGGTTAGTTTTCCTTCCCCTAGCTTCACAGGAAGAATCAAGTTGATCATACTCCAAGAAAAGAAAGTGTGCCCATTTACTACACAGGAGACTCCAGAAAGGCACAAATATCATGATGAAGCCAGGTAAGGAAGCAGGGAAACCAGAGCACCAATTCATAAGCATTTCTATAAATGACAGATTTACAGGAGTTTCTAAGTCTTCTTTCCAGGGCTGAAATGAGGTGGAAGAGATTTTTTTTTTTTTTTTTTTTCATTTTGAGACAGGGTCTCCCTGTAGCCCCTGCTGGCCTGGAACTCACTATGTAGACCAGGCTGGCCTGGAACTCACAGAGATCCACCTGCCTCTGCCTCCCGAGTGCCACCATGCCCAGCTGGAAGAGATTCTTTTAGAGCTGGAAAACACTGCATTTTCAGTATGCACTGCTTGTGTGGTCTGGATCCAATTAAGAGGATGGCCACACTCTCCTTGCACAGAGACTGGAGCTGGGAGGAGCTCAAGGATGCCTGGTCTTGGGCTTCCAAGTACTGTTACCCTCCTGTGTAGCCTCAACCTGAGACTGCCCCATAGCTTGATGGTGGTCACAGTCCCTCTTCCCCCGTTACACCTGCTTCTTCACAATCAAATGCTTTTTCCCACACTCAGGAATTGGACTGTATCTGGAAGGCAAGAATGGCCCTGGCAACAGTACAGATCCTTGGTCCCTTGTCCTACTAGGCAGTGCTCTGATCTGTCAAGCTTATGCTTGGTTCACCTCCCTCTTACTCTTTTCATCAGCCATTCCAGAGGTTCAGAATTCTCTCCACACATGTATCTACCAGCTGGTGAGATAGTCCTGCCTCTGTCAGGCTTTCAGTCTTGTATCCCGAACCCCAGTATTGAACCTAGGGACTCACATACACTAGGCAAATGTTTATTTTGAGACAGGGTCTCATTAAGTTGCCCAGGCAGGCAGGCCTTGAACTATGAAGCCCAGGCTGACTTTGAACTTTTGATCTTCCTGCCTCAGCCTCCTGAGTAAATGGGAATTAAGGCCTATGCTTCCAGGCTCTAGCTCCTTCCTCTTTTTCCTTGGCATATGCTACTTCAAGCACCTTTTCTCTTTCTATCTCTCCCTGTTTCCGACTTTACCCTAGGCCACCCTCAGCCAGCTCCTTTCCTCATCAAAGCCCCAAGGTTGTAGAAAGTGCTACCTACACTGCTGTCTTGTATTTTCCCACTTCCTATTTGCTTTTCAAAAACATATCACAGTGATGTCCCAGTTCTCAAATCAAACAGCTCCTGGCCAGGTCTCTAGTGATCCTGTGATTAGACCAAGCATACCCCACAGTTATTCCCTTGGCAGCTGCTGCCACTGGTGTATATGTGCAACACACACATGTGGAGGTCAGAGGACAATTTGCAGGAGTTAGTTCTCTCCTTCCCCCATGGGGGTCCCTTGGCTGAAGCTCAGGTTGCCAGACAGCAAGCACTTTTACCCCGAGCCATCTCATTGGCCTTGCTGTTGCTGTTGGCCACATTCTTGCTTGCCCTGGGGCTCTCAGCTTGAACCCCTGTTTTCTTTCTTTCCTTTCCTGTTTCCACCCATGCTTCCCAGCAAGGCCTTGTTGATCTTCTGTAGGCTC